TTAAAAAGACGTCATTAAAACTAAATGGTAGTAATTTGATCAGGTACATTCTGAACATTTTATTTCACTAATTTACATTTTAGAGAGTTGACAGGAATTGGGAAACAAGCTGAAATTACTGCATTTTTGCAGTCAAGAAATGAAAGAAACGTTAATTTTTTTTAGCTGTACACCAAATCTTCATGCACACAAAACCAACCGAATCAGTTTATTTCATCTGAACGGGGCACACAATCTATTCAGATTTCTTATTTTATCTTCAAACTAGTCTCGAAAGACTGAAATTTTAGGCTACAAAACACTGTTATAGCCTATCATCATCATTATTATTATTTCAAGTTTTTATCTTATTTTCTGTGAGACTCAATCCCATATAAAGTTTAGAAAAGGAAATTACTTTCAGCATTTCCAGCAAGAAGCGGCAACAATGGGCTTAGATTTCCATCCTAGAACAAGGCAACCCTTTTCTTCTACAATGGTGTAGCCTTCACAGGCATTGACGTTGTTTAGCCATTTCTTGGCTTGAGTTAACATTTTTAACGATGCGGGTTGAAATCCAGCTCGACTCATCCTTCTACGCCATTGGTCGACCCTCTCGTGCCTTTCCACCCTGGCCGGCCCTTCGCAGCTAACTATGTTCTTGATTTCCTCGGCAAAGTAGAATTGTTCCATCTTAGCACGCTTAGTGTCATATTTAGGCAGCATGGCGTCGAGAGAGTCGAAGATTGCAGAGTAGTAATGTAAAGCTTCCATGAATCGTCCGAGAAAGAAAGGTCCATTGTGGCTTGAATCCTGCTCAACAAGAACTAAAACCTTCGGTGAGAGCTCATGAATTATCTGCAGAAACGAGTTCAAAGCGCCCCGGCTTTCTTTCACCACACAATGTAGTTGCAGGATGCTGTTGACTACGAGGACCTCGCCAGGAAGAACCTTGATGTCTTTGGGTTTAAGGTGTTCCAAGTTGCTTTCTACCACCGAGAACTCCAAATACAGCCCTAGGCTTTGTGCATAAGTCTCGAGCTCGTCTCCAATGACTTGAAATTGATCAACGCAGAGGCCGACCGCCGTGATTCGGAGACGGGGAGGTGGGCCCGAGCGCTTGGCAAGGCTTTGAATTAGACCGCGCCATTGGTGTCCATGTGGCAGACCAAGGGTCATGCCCAAGTCCATCACATGAACTAAACTCTCTCCCTCAAAGGCTTCCAATATTGAAGAATTTGCCACAAAGTGACCAAACTGAATATGTGGGCAAATTTCATAAACAAGGCATAAAGCTTCCTCCTTTTTTATCGAGGCAATGTCCATTATGTTCATTTTAGGAGCCACGTAACCAACAGTGCCACGGGGTTGAACTAAAACCAGCCTATCAGCAAGTCCCTGGACAAAACAGGACGCTACGCGTTGGAACGAAGAACCAAAGACTAAAGCATTAGACCGAAGTTCGGATAATAAGACTGAAGCGTGTGACTTATCCCGACAAGCCACTGCTTCAGCACAAGAAATGAGTTGTTGAACTAATTTCGTTCCATCCCCCTTTCTTTCTACTTCTTCGCCTTCAGTCTCTCTGTCCTCCGAACCAATGACAATTGCAGCATCTTCTAAGGCCTCAGCTGCAAGGTATCGTTGAGTATAAGTCCATATGTGATCACGAAAGTGAAGCCTTGGAAAGTTGTTCAAACTACTCGTGCTATTAGTACGCACAATGCTGCCATTACTACTATCGCTGTAACTGCTGTCAGTGAACGCGCCAACACTTTCAGTTCGCTTCAGCCTCTTGATGCCACCGGTTTCATCAGACAAAACTGGGAACCAGAAGGGCGTAGCATTCTCTAAAATGGGTAGGCTCGGGTAGGAAGCCACAAAATTTGTTCTCTCATTGCATGAATCTCGTAACAAGAAATTATAAGCCATATAATTATATCAGATCTCTCTCTCTTCCTCTTTGCCTTGATCCTGAAGTAATGCTCTTGAAAGAACCACTTAACAAACAAAGGTAACTTATATAGACAACAATAAAAGGCATTCTTGTTACCACATTAACAAAGTTTTTTGGAACATGCTATAATGCAAACAAATATGAGAAAAATAAAGTTTTATAAATGCATGTCTTGTTTTAGCAGACAAAAATGTTTGAAGCATAGACCTATCAATATGCTCCGAGTTTTTTCTTTGGTACTACACATTTGGCGACTAGTCATAATTTTCAAGTCTACGAGGCCACGACATTGTAAAAATGCCTCGAATTTAGACGAAAGTCACGAAACCTTAACTTTCGTAAATTCATATGCACTTAATGATTTTTCATTTCTTTTTTCGCTTGACCCTTTAATATAACATGCACGAAAATAGATGAGTGTTCTATGATCTGCAAATCCCAATTTTGAAGGGAGATAAATTATTTTAAAGCCTTATCAATTGAAATGAGACACAAGTCCTTGCTCCAAGACCTGTGCTGAGATAGAGATTTCTGTTAGGCTGAAGCATACTGAGAAACGTGACTTTTTGAAGCAAGCCAAAAGGAAAATATTTGGCCGTAAATGTTAAGAAAAATAAGAATGATATTATACAATGTAAACTCGTATGGATATTAAAATGTAAGCTCTTGAATATTACAATGTAGAAGACCCTATTTATAGGGTTACAAATAACACTAAAAGGAAATAAACTAAAAAGGAAATATTGCACAATCAACTACTAAGATAAATAATCATAATCCTACACTAAAAGGAAAAGTATAATGAAAAATATTCTATACAATATTTCTATATTTAAAACCCTCATCTCAAACTCAATATGGTGTAGAATATTGAGTTTGAAGAAATCAATCTAGTCAAATCTTCTGAATTGACGAACTCTAAGCACCTAAGGTCTTTGTCATTCTTGTTTGCCTGGAAAAAAAAATATGATGAACACCATTTTTTATTTTTATTTTTAAACATAAAAGAAAAAACCTCTAGATTGTTTAAGAGGCAGGACGAGTGCCTGTAAAGTTCAAGGTACCAACCTTTCAAATTTAATTTTTTTAAAACATAAAAAAAAAAAAATCTCTAGTTTTTTTAAGAGGTACGGAAAGAACAAAAGAAAATCCTTAATTTGTTTAAGGGGCACAGGAAGAGCCGGTAAAATTCAAGGTACCAACCCTCCATTTTTTTTTTGTCAACATAAGAAAACCCCTAAACTATACCATATTAAGAAAAATAAGAATGATATTATACAATGTAAGTTTTTGAATATTACAATCTAAAAGACCCTATTTATAGGATTACAAATAACATTAAAAGGAAATAAACCAAAAAGGAAATATTGCACAATCAACTACTAAGGTAAATAATCATAATCCTACACTAAAAGGAAAAATATAATGAAAAATATTCTATACAATATTTCTATATTTAACAATAAATGAACAAAATTGTGAGGAATCATTCTTACCTAAAATTGTTATTATAGACATTGGCCTTTTCCATCAAAAAAAAGTTCCGGTTTGTTTATAACTAGCCAATCGTGCACTCAAGGTACTTTCTAGAAGTTTTACTCGTTTTAACCCTATTTCCATGCACATATTTATGTCCATGTCAATACAATTCATTTGTTCGTACAAAATGTATAGATACGGAAGAATATACTTACATAAAAACATATTATATGACACATACATGTATTCATGGAATCAAAGTGCATAGAAAACTTGATGTGGATGTGGCATAGATCACTAAGAAAGTAGAATCCCAAATTTGTAATCTACTATCCCTTTCACTCTTAATCACAAACGGTTAAAATTAGGACGGTAAATATATTCTCTTGCATTTCTAGGACAGTAACATGTAGTAATTATTTCCAATAAAATAACCACATATCTTAATCATGGATCTTTGGTTTTATCAAAATGGATTATTTGAATTATGACAGCAAGTTTTATTATACCTAGGATCCGGCGCAGCATATTTTGCAATTCTTATGTCCGGCCAACAACTATGTTCTAGATTGCAATCGGTTACATTCCTGCCGTTGTGCAACTTGACAAGAGGACTGTCCCCAGACTTGAGTTTCAGTTCGGTAGAAATAGTCAGCTGGAATCGAACAAGAAGGGTCGGGCACGGACAGCATGACTGGGTCAGCGATCGAGGCAAGTACTCGAGGGAACATTGTGTACTAATTCTTATGCTTTAATAAGAATGCATTCCAACTTCATTGAATAATGTGATAATGATCCATACTGACTCTAGATAAACAGAATTATTTAAGATAAATTTATTATTTGTAAAGCCTAATTATTATCGAGATGTGAAGCCGATACACGGATCAACCTCGTCATAATGAATTACTGTAGCGCTGAAAGATGATGTATCTCGCATTGTGGTTAACTTCTACAAATCCTATGTATTCTTCTTTGTCGATTTTTTCTTTCTGTGAATTAACTACTCTCGATTGTATAAAATTAAGATTTCTAACCCACAACAAAATTAAGATAATATAACTGAGATCTTACTACATATACATCAAACTTTACATAATGAGTTACATAATGTCACATATTATTTTATCATTTGCTAGTTTAAAACACATTCAACTTTTTCATCAAATCTTTTCTTTCCATATCATCTTATGTAATTCCTTATATACCATTTTTATGTACAAATAGTATAATCCATATAACTGATGTGGTCGTGAGACACCTTCTCTAATTTTGTTCGTAAGTCCAAGAGTAAATCAATCTATCCATAGCAAGTCAAAAAAGTATTACCCATAAGGATCTAATTGTATTCAAACTTTTGCACGAATTAAACGGGGTAAAAAGAAAAAAAGATTTACATTCAATCTCACATTTATTGAGAATAAAGCTTGCTTTATCACCATCGTTATTACAAGGCTAGTGATAACATAGAACGAGTTTTGATACACGGAACCAATCCACACTGTACCTAACGTGGAAATAATGGTCGGATGATCGTCAGACAGCACAGAAGTTCTAAAGGTTGAGAAATGGAAGAATGTGCATGTACAAAGAAATACAAATTGCAAGTCCATGATATTATCTCTGTACTTTGGAATGAATACATAACCCAACACCTCTAAAGTTTCCATCTTCGTCTGGATAACCTTATGAAAACACTAATATTAGTTCAACTCACTGACATAGGGAAGCAATGCAACTTTTTTTCAACATTAAGTACCAAAATATACATAGCAGCACAAGCGCGTTATCAACAAAATGCCCAAGTTACAGAACTCGTGGAGTTTAGCATCAGATGCTTCCTTCCATCTCTGATAATCAACAGGTGAGCACTTTGCTTTACCACAGTGTGCAGATCAGTAAAAGTATATATGTTCCGAATTAACATATAGTCATTTAGAGACCTTTCCCAGTTCCCTTATAAACCTCTGTCACTAAAGAGTTAGCATTGGTACGATGTACCAGCTGTCAACAATATGGTAAATCTACATCAAAAATCTCCCAGTTATCATCCTCAGAGTCATCTTTCTTCTTCAGATCTTCCTTCTTAACCCTTACTGATGCTTTAGATTGTCGCGGCCTGACAAAAAAGGAGACAATGTCTTAATCTGACTGTTGCCGAGACTGACAAGGACAGTCATTCATTCAAATATTCCATAATATACTTTGAAATTCTAAATGTTTTTCCACAACTTAGCCCTGATATAGTTGTATTGACGATGAATGCTACTGTTTTGAGTTGGATTGGAAAAAATAAAGAAAACAGAAAGAAAGTGGCAGCGGGAAAGACTCTGAGGTGAAATCAGATCACAAAGTCAAGCATATGTAATGAACTTTAATTGTGCCTTGCGCCAAAGCCTCAAAGGAGTTCTTTGAAGGTAAAAATTTCATTTACGTGCTCAATGTCCATATAAAGTTAAAATCTTTACAATTTAAAATCATTTCAAGTCTTAATTTCATTATTCAGACTCTTATGTTCAAATAGGTCCTCATTCCACTCAAATACCTTTAGTGGGGTTATACATAGAGCAGTAACAAAAACTTGAAAATCCTTCATCTTGTACCAAAACAAAATTCTAACCATCACCATTTCCCATCAAGAACCATTTCCCATCAAGAATACACATGGACAAAAATCAAGGAGAAAACCAAAAAAAATTGACCCACAACAATTGAACACCATGGATTATGCATTCTATCCATTTTTTCCTATGCCCCAATTAGTATTGTTTTTATTTATGTAAACTCTTTAGTCTTCTAAGCCTACTCTCTCCTCTCCCGTTTTATCTTTCCGGGGAACCGGGCTTTTTTATAGCCTCAATTTCCATGTCATTGTTTACTTACAGATGAAACATTTCAGGTTAAAAAAACTGATGATCACTGACCTTTTAGCATAATTTCATGTAATCACTACATTTCATTCTGTACCAAATTGGTTACTAAATACTAAACTTCATTTCAAGTCGATTGCCAAGCTTTAAATTTTTTTTAAGTTGGTCAATCGATCCAGGTTCGCTAGTTGAAAAAGTGACATGACATCTTAGTTGACAGCCTAATTGGCAAATGTCTAGACTAACACATCATCAATTCCTTCAGTTATTAGCAGTTTAATTCGCAAATAACTAGACTGTCTCAGACTCTCGTGGATGGTTCAATCAAATTATAACTAAAAAAGTTTCAACAATCAACATCAAATTTCACAAACTTTTTGAATTTAACTCAAAATATTCCAATAACAGTAACAAGAAATCAAACAAGAATTTTGAAATCAACATAATAATAGACTTTTCTATAACATTACTAAGTAGTTCAGTTCTATATTCTGTAAATTTCCCCAAGTTAAAAAGAAAAATAGAAGCAACCTTTTCATTTTACGTTTTGCAGCTTCACGGGTCTTTCTCTTCTTTTTCTGCTGCGTACTTTCAAAAAACCTTCTGCGCTTGCATTCCTGAAGAACACCCGCCTTCAACACTTCCCTGCGGAACCTGCCAACAAGTTTCTCTTCAGGCTCATTTACACCGGTAAGAATCTGAACATTCCAACTACGCTTAAACAATATCGGCTTATCAAAAGCCTGATGTAGAAGAACGTTAGAAGCGTAAAAGCGATATGGGTCTTCTTCTTTGTGGGTTTTTGCAGGTAATTTTGCTAGTATTACAGGGATCAAGACGTGGGTTTTGGGCTGCAGAAGTGGTTTGAAGTTGGTATGAGGTAGGGGTGAGTGGGGCCGGTATATTGGTGCCAGCTTCAAGAGGGCCATCGTCTGATTTTGGTGGGGGAAAAGGGTTTTAGCCGCATTTGGGAAAGAAAGATACGTTTGATTTGCATTTCTGATTTTCGTTTTCCGTTATATTCGTTTTAGCTCCATTATTTCTCATCACTTTTAATTAAATTTTTCTCTCATACTTTTAATCACACAATTTTCAATAAAATAATATTATACGTAAATATAAAACATTTCAACCACTCATTTTTCAAAAAAATACTATTCATCTCATTATAATTTATACATAATGCGGCTCAAACAGCCCCTTCATTTTCCATTTTCTGTTTTGAGAGATTATTTTAAGATTGTAGAAAAAGCATTTGATTTGTTATTCTAACAAACTGCTTTTCAAAACAAAAAATTAGAAAACACGTTTAGTTAAAAAAATTTAGAAATAATTTTATGACATCTTGGAAGAGAAAGGCAGAGGGATATTTGTATTTAGATAAGTTTTGTGTGATTTTATTAATTATTTTAATTTGAAAATTTTAGAAGCCAGTTTTCCTTGTTCTGAGGTTTTAAAAAGTCGTTTTGAATTTTGTGTTATAAAATTTTCCTTATTTTCAAAATCGCATTTTTAAAAATAATATACCAAATACGTTTTGAGTATTTTTGAAGAATGAAAATTGAAAAATGGTTTCAAAATGGCAAATCAAACGAGCTCTAAATGTGTGATAATTTTTAGAGAAAAATTCATCCTCAGTCCCAAACTTCCATTTTATGGCAATTTTTTTCCCTATTGGCTACCTTGTGGGGGCGATCTACTCCCAAGGATCACCTCCATTCTTCCCATCAATTTTGCTACGCCTTCTATGGCTTTAGATAGGGATGGCAATCAGACTCGTTGGTTCGGGCCGCCTGTGGCTTGGTTCTGGAAAAGCCCGAGCCGGCTCGGCTAGGGGCTCGGGCCGAGCCCCATTTTGGGGACACGGGCTTTGCCCGAGCCGATCCGTGAGCTCGCGAGATTTAAAAAAAAAAATCAAATGAAGCCTTAAAAGGAAGCAAAACTGCTGCCTTTTAAAGGCAACAAATTTGATGCCTTTCAAGGCAGCAGATTAGAAGACTAATAAAAAAAAAAGAAAAAAAGTGGAGAAAACGAGCCTTTCCGGCTCCACTCGTAAAAAGTCCGAAAAAAAGCTCGGGCCGAGCCTATTTTTTTTGGCCGAGCTTTCGAGCTCGCAAAAAAGCTCGGCCATTTAAATCGGGCCAAGCCCGAGCCGAAACTTTAGGCTCGCGAGCCGGCTCGTTTACATCCCTAGCTCTAGATCACCACCACGTGGCAGTCAACTAGGAAGTCAACCAAAACCACACTCCATGCCAACATCCTACCTAGTCGAGGTTAGGCCATTTATAGAGGGTGTTTGGTATGTATTTTTATGTAAAAATGCATTTTGAAATAGTAAATTAATGGGAATTATGTGGTTAAAAAATAAGGAATTTTTTTCGATTTACGTGTAATATTATTTTAATGAAGAATGTGTGGTTGAAAAGAAGAGAAAGAAAAATACATTTTGAAAAAAATGGGTACCGAACGGGACCATAATATAGTCAAGGTAATGCATCACTTATGTCAAGGTGTCTTGAAGAGGCCAACCTTCCATGGTCTAAAGAGGTCTTATGCATGCTCTAGGGACGAAATTCAAGGCAATTAGCTTCTTCATTGATGAGAAACCTCTCAACTCAGAATTTTCAAAGGATCTTCGGCACAAGATCTTCCGTGATTGATTGATGTAACCTCGTTACAGCAGTCACTCTACAAAATCAACTTGTCAAGTCTACTCTCGTTGCAACAGTCACTCTACAAAATTAACTTGTCAAGTCTACTACTTGTATATCGGGCCTAGGTCATAGGGTGATTGCTTTTCAAAAACATTAAATGCTACCCAACTTATGACAGATAGATTGATACCTATGAGAGGACGCTTCGTCCATTAGGATAAGGACACATATCTTTCCAGCCAATTATCGATATCATAGATCTTCTAGTATAAAAACACGCACGTAGTACTATTTGAAAGTAACTCAACTTTATACACTCAAACTATAAATTTGCTCTCGTTATTCTCTATATGACATATTATTTGACGATCCACTTACACTTAGTGGTTCTCATTTTATGCAAGTTCTACATTCAAATACTTATACTTTGACTCACTTGACAGTCGTAGTGCTCGCCATCATCTCTCCCACCACTGAAGAAGGAAACATGTGACTTAAGACTTGTTTAAGTGTCCACTAGCAATGCTTATATGGACGTTAGAGGAGTCGGGATCTGTTGATCACTTCCCTTACAAAAAAATGAGGTAAACAAATGCCACCCCACAATCATGGGAGAAAAGTGAAGCTTAATTGCTTAAAGCTTGGGTTGAACCTAAATTTTCTTTTCTTTCAGCTTAACAAGAATGGCATCAGAAGGAAGGGTTGTGAGCAACTGATCGAGAGCTTGGTTAAAGTCCTCCTTACGATCAAATTTTTATAAATCTGCCAAGCTGCTTTAAAGGATGTTTTTAATCAATTATCATGCTCGAGCAATGGCAGGGGTCTGATTCAGGTTTGGAGTAGGGACTTCCTCCGAACATTTAATAGATTTTAATTTAAAATAATGCTAAAAAAGACATGAAAAATTATGGTCTCCATTACAAAAAACATACAAAAAAACAAAAAAAAAAAGTACGAACAGGGAAGTGATCTTATCAAAAATGCTATTTTTGTCTCTAATATTGCCTCTTAATAATTTTGGGTACTATTGCTCAATGGATTGATCAGTCCTTGCTTTTGTTTCAGGTGATATGAGATTTTAGACTATGTTACTTTAGTTCTAGAACTCAGATATGCTCTTGAGGTGATACAAAAGTTTAGAAGTCGTTCCTTTGTTACTAGAGTTCAAACATATGGCTCTTGTTTGGGCTCCATTTTTCCAAAAATATATTTTATTCAAAATTCATTTTCAATCGCACATTCTCCTTTAAAAAAAAATTATACGTAAATTCAAAACTTTTCTTATTTTTAACTACACATTTTTCAAAAAATCACTATTCCTAAATACATTTTCTTCCAAAATCTCATTTTAATGGAGTCCAAAAAGGATGACGATATATTGTCAAAATGATTGGACTAGTTCGACTCAACCCATTGAATTAACAAACCAGCACGACATGATCCTTTAAATAGGATAGGCCCCGAGACGATTCAAGAGTCAAGCCTGGCCACCTGTAAAAAATAAAGAGAAAATATATAACTACCAACATTTAAAGATACATTTTCAAACTTGACAAACTTGTGAAATTCTTTCAAATATCAAGAGGTAATAATTAAATAGGTTAAAGTAACAATAACATATAATTATGCTCACAGTTACTACATAGTCACAAATCACAGAACACCACAGTTACAATGACATAAAATTTAGGCTACGGTTGTAAATTTAGTCACAAATTATTAAATTAATTGGTTACAACTTATTTTCGATCATAAATTATCAAATTAATTGCTCACAACTTATTTATCGATAATAAATTATTAAATTAATTGGTTACAATTACGTAATTAAATTGTCACAAATTACACTTTATTTTACCCACATCACCCTACCCTCGCCACCATCGTTGGCATTGCCCAAAACGTGTCATCACTTCAGATTCACAATTCACTATCACCATCTCCAATGCATCACTAGTACAACCACCACTTTCAACAAACTACAACCACCATCGCCTGCACCCCAACCACATCCACCGCACCACCCCCATCACACTACTACTATTACTAATGTACCACTATCACCTATAAATCGCCACCACTACCACCATCACAAAATCACACCACCACAGACACATCACCCCACAACTTATTATCATACATAAAACAATTCCCACGACTTACCATAGCACACACATCACCTTAATAGAAACACCGCACCACAACCTACCATCGCGCACACAACAACAACGTACTATGAAGTGGACAATGACAGGCATGCATCGTGCATCCATCATCGCTATGCATGCTTGCAGCCGCACAGTGCAATGCCTTCGGTGCTAGAGAAGTGAGGAAGGTGGCCATGCCGGAGAAAAATGGAATGGAGTTGAAGTTTTTATGACCTTTTGTTTTGGTAGACAATGAATTGGGATTATGGTGGGAATGGCATGAGAGGTGGTGGGGGTGGGGCGACGTGGACGGGAGGCGGTGTACACCTGATTTTGTAGGAATAACTTTATGATCTAATTATTAAAGTAAAAAAGTAAAAAAAATGTGTCTGTCATTCTCTCTATATAAATTAATCAACGGAAAAATTCATATTTACATCATTACAAAATAAATTTTCAAAATATACTATGTGCTGTTTATAATCCATTAAATATTGTGTGAATTGGTAAATATTTTAAGAAATACTATATACCTAGATCCCAATGAGTCTTAATGCAACTTACATATTTTTAAATTACCCTAACATTAAGCTTATCATTTAATGCCTTTTCAAAATCGGTACAGAATTTAAAAAAAAAAAAAGAAAAAAAAGAAAAAAGAGCAGAATGGGCAAATCGTATCCCAAGCTAGTGTGTGGAGATAATCGTCTTCTCTTTGTTTTTTTTTCTCTATCTATCCATCAAGAAGAAAGGTCCTTTGCAAAAACGTATAATCTGTTATTAATTTTTTCATTCTGTATGGTATTGTTTCAGACTTTGTTATGTGCTACACTTAGATATATTTGAACTCGACATTTACGGCTTTTAGATTCATATTTGCCATCTGAAAATATGTTTTCATTATACAGAATGACAATTGAGAACATGTATGCTTAGAGTGGCCACATTGGTGTACCCGATTTTTTTATGGGACAAAGTATCATAATTTTTTCTCGTGAAATAGAACTGTTAGTGAATTGGCAAATCATGGTCTCAGAAGAAGAGGAATTGAAATGTACAAGGAGATGAGAGGGGTGGGATTGAAGCCAGCCTCTGTTACATTTCTTGGACTTCTAATGGCTTGCAATCATTTAGGACTTTCATATAAGGGCCATATTTTATTCAATTCCATATCTCAG